ACTTAATGAATTTATTATGATTTTTAGTACTAAATTTATAATAAATTTTGATTTAGTATAAAATTTATTAAATTTATTCTGATTTTTTATATTAAATGTAGAATATGATTTATTATAAAATTTAATAAACATTTTCTGATTTTAATAAATATTTTAATGTTGGGTGACATTAGCGACATTTGGCAACATTTTAATAAATATTTTAAATGTAATTTTTATATTACCATCCATTTTCATGTCAGTGAGCCTCGACATCGACATATGTCGGGCGACATTAGCGACATTTGGCGACATTTGAAACCATGCTTTTAATACATTCTGATGTGTTTTACACCATTGTAATGGTCCAACTTTAAAATTACCTCTTATTGGTGCTTGTACACCAGTGTTGTGTCTACTTCATTTGGGAAGAAACAAAAAACAAAGTCATTTTGAATACTTGAAACCCTAGTTGTTGCAGGTAGGTTCTCAGCTAGCAAAATTTCCACTGAAGAAGCAACACTAATATAACTGATCTCTCATCCCTAACCCTAAAATAGAATGAATTGCAACCAATACATACCTAGTGTACCGATATCATATATAATTGACACTTTTAATATATCAGAAGTATTTTAACAAATTATACTATAAAAATCTATGCACATGTTATAAATTTTATCAAGTTTTTAGCTATAAAATGCATGATATAAGCATATTACATTGGATACCTGTATTTCTGTACCCATATTGAAGGTACCGACTGGTTCAGTTGGTAAGGTCTCTGACTATTTATAGCAGAGACTTGGGATCAAATCCCGCCTTTACCAGGGTTTGGGGGATTAGATACCCCCTGTTGTGTAGGCCCATAGACAAAAAAAGGGTACCCATATCCATGTCTGTGTCCATATCTATATCTGACCATCAGAGGAGCGTATTACATGCTTGAATTGTCGAGTGCTTGAAGCATTTAAATGCAATCCATATTTATTTGCTTTCACTTTTACCTTTAATTTGTATTGTGTTAAGCTTATGTATTTTATTTGAGCTAATAAGCATTTCAAAACATTTGTTTTAAAGTTGAGGTTTCCATTTTTATGTATTTATATTTTTGATTTGTTTCAAAAAGTTGCGCCTTGTTTCATTTTGCACCTTGCCCTTCACCTTGGGCACAAGTCCCTTGCACTTTTCCTTTTTGAGGAGTAACAGTAAAAGTTTTACTAATCGTGGTAAAAGAATTTAGGTAAAGTTTACAGGCTATGTACTACTTGCCCCCGTGTACTATTTACACATTAAACTAATTTATTAATCCTCAATACAATTGATCCCTGTAAACCCCCTGCCTGCTAGGGAATCAAGTAGGTTGTTTGCTGATCTGAGTCAACTCCAGTCCAAGATGATTCCCCTAGCTATCTGTTCAATTTCTCTTGTGCCTGCAAATTCCCACTGCAATCATTCTTCAGCCTCCTCATAACATATTTCAAATCTCATTTAACCAATACATTCTGCAAACTTAAGCCCTTGTGCTTCTTTATGCATCTTTCTTTTAGAACATGGTACTTGGATAAATTTTTCTTCCTGTTTGATGCATAAATTTCATCTTTGCAGACGAGGAGGAGTCTTGACAGAGGTGGTTCCGGAAAATTTTTGAACGGCCTAGGTTCTCTTATGTCTCAAGTCAGGCATCCACATCTCAAAGATCCAGGGAATGGACCGAAAGCCTCAATTGCCAAACTCTTTGAGCAAGGTACTTAAAAAGTCTGAATGGATGAGTTATACTGCTTATACTATGCCCTGATGGTTTCAAATCAAGCTCTTTTCTTTTTTCTAAGAAAAGACTCTTAACCTGACAGTGGGATTGCAAAAGATTCTGTCATTGCTTGAATCAGAAGATGCTGATGTGCGGATTCATGCAGTGAAAGTGGTGGCAAATCTAGCTGCAGAAGGTAGTTTTTATGTACTTATTTGATTGTTTCTTTAATTTTATTCATATAGCTGCTTTCTTTGCTTCGTGTTCAAGGAATCCTGCTTGTACTGCTTTGCAGTTAAATTGCAAGTGCAATCTACCTTGACATGCTTCTTGAAGGCTCTGAGATTAGTTATGCCTGGTGAAAACTTAGTTATCAGAAGGGTGAAATATTGCAGTCTTAAATGTTCTTTTCATCATTTAATTTTTAGGAAAATAACTGTGCTGCCAGAAATACGTGATTCCGGAAGAGCTTTGACCAATCAATCCACCCCCCCTGCCTGGGTGAATTTTGATAAATCCCATCTGTGTGGTTACCACATTTATGATACCAGTTTATTGGTTACAAGTTTCTCCAGTGCCATGCCATTCTGGTATCATAGTGAAACCCTAATTCATGATTTTTTTAAAACAACCCAATCTTGTTGGAACGTGGGAGTTATTTGGCTTCTCCAAATATGAATAGGCAACTCCTTATGGTCTAGATGTCAACTCTTTCACCTGGTGCCTATATTTAATGACACTATTGTTTCTATTTGTTGGGTTTCTGGGTAGGGAAATGTGTTCAGATAGTGTATGGTGAGAAAAAGTACAATTTTGCAACATGGGACATGAATAAAAGGGATTCATACATATTCAAGGTGTTTTTGTTACTTGTGTTAGCTTTTCAGTTTAAGATGTGGGTGCAAGGAAAAAGCACAAGTACAAAAATTGTAACATTCTATCCTTGATTCCAAAAAGAGGAGGATTATGTATGCTTGAGTTGCAGCCCAAGCAGTTCATTTTATTTTATCTTCAAAATGTTACCCTGATAATGCCACCTGTCTGTGGAAAGTAATATCTTTGAAAAAACCAATAAAAAAATAGTATTGTTGAAAAATTGTTTTCTAAATAATTCATCAAAAAAAATGTTTGCTAAATATTTGGAATTGTATACTAGGTACCTTTAAATGTAATATTATATTATATCTACATTATGCATATTTTATTACTTCACACATTCACATTTGATATATACTGATGACTTATTCTGAACTATAACTAGTTTCTTGCTGCTGTTCTTTGTTCTAAATTATGAGCTGGTTCATTATAATTGCTCTTTATGAGGTGCTCTATCTTTTTTTTTTTTGATCAATAACAGCAACCTTTATTAAGAGAAAAAGATAGAAAATTACAAAAAGAAGGGAGGGGTAAAATTTCTTAACCCTCCCTGACAAAACAGAAAAAACAGATTACAACAGAGCCCAAAAGAAATTTGTTCTTGCCACCCCCTGTTTAGCCAAAGTGTCTGCCATAGAGTTAGCACTCCTCTTGGCCCATTGAACCCTAATTTGCATATTTTTAGTTAACTGATTAATTTTATTTTTTTCATTTGAAAACTTCCACAGACTGGACTGCAGTTATCTAACAGTCAGCCGAGAGTCACCTTCCACCAACAGATCACTGATTTTCAGCTGCTTAGCTCTTTTGATCCCTTCCAGAGCTGCCAAAATTTCAGCTCTCAATGAATCCCCCCAACCTATAGGTCCTGAGAACATGGCAATAATTCGACCTTCTTCATCCTTGAAAACACCACCTATGCCTGAAAGGCATGGATTTCCTTCACTGCTGCCATCAAAGTTCAATTTAATGAATCCCAAGGCTGGCGGAGTCCAAGCTGGACTAAGGGAAGTAGACATGGGAGCAGTCCAAGCCACTTCTTTCCAATTTCTAATGATGTCTCCTGCTGAATAGGCTTCAAAGAGCTTCATAGACTTGACCCAGTGAACCACCCTAACATATATTAATTCAATGATGGCTTCCTTACTTTTTCTTTTTCATGAAAAGTTCTTTGATTTCTTTCCTCCCACACCGTCCAACAAACAGCTGCTCTAACACATCTCCACAAGATTTTCTCTCTTTTTTAAACCCCTCACTGATGTAGAACTAAACAGCTCTTCTTTTGGTATCCAGAGAACCTTGTAAACTGAAACATCTTAGTAGTCAGAGGAAGAGAAAGCAAAATTGATTTACGTAGTTGTGTGGTTGCAACAAATGGAAATTGATGGTAGACTATCAATTCATATTGGTTAGTAACTACTTAAGCAAGTATGCTTGGAATCAAGTTGAACTAAAAAACCAAATTAATAAAGACAAGTATAGCCTTAAAATAGAAAGAGAATTTTCTGTTGCTACTCTTTTTTTGGTCATTGTCAACCCTTTCTGTTTGTAACTAGAAATTGTACATTGTTTGTGAGCCATATGGTTCATTTTGTATATCTATAGTTCTATACTACTACTAAAAGTGAATGAGAGTGTGGAACTTTTGTTTGACTAAAATATCCTCATATTTTAATTTGGTTCCTCTCTATAAGGACAAATGTAATTTGAACTACTACATTTCTTCTCATTCAATTCCCTCTCATTAAGTCTTATATTTAAGGTATTAACTCTCATTACTTCATTGAATCCTATATTAAAGAAAAATAAGTGTGATAAAAAATAATTGTTTTTATTGGTGATAGAAATAAAATACAAATTTAAAACCAACCAAAAAATGAGTGGAGAGTCAACAATTCAACCTTCTGGGCAAAGTTAAATAATAATAATAATAACTAAAAAAGATGAAAACACACAAAAGTATAAAAAATACAAAAAAAAATTTGTAGAAAACATTTGGGCACATATGTAATATCATATATTCATCATAGTGTGACAAATAAAAATAATTTTTATAGACATAAAAATATTAAAAAATTTTAGAAACATATTATTTGCTATTATCACTGTCATAAAAAATTGCCACATGCAAAGCACATGCATACTTACTAGTATTTTGAAAAGCTTATTTAAAATGTGATACAAATTATGCCTTTTTTAGAAAAAATGTAAATTGCAATGCAATCACTTTTGCTTTAGTGATTGTACCTTACATCTAAAAAAAATACTGAGACATTTCTGTTTTTCATTTATCATGCATGTTACCTTAAAAAATTAGTGCCATTCTGTTTTTTACGAACTTCTTAATGTATTCAGTTCCTTGTTATTCCTATGTGACTGCTTTTTTGCTCCTTTTAACTAAAATTGGTAAATAAAGAAGATAGATATGAAACTCTTGCCAGTGTTCTAGCTATTTTCACAGGTATTTTTGCACACCATCCTTTAGCTGTTTATGTAACAGGAAGGGAATTCCGTCATAGTAGTTATATCTGCTTGCAATGTCATATGCAGAAGCAAATCAAGAGAAGATTGTTGAAGCTGGTGGCCTTACTTCCTTGTTGATGCTTCTTAGAAGCTCAGAGGATGAGATGATATGCAGAGTAGCAGCAGGAGCAATTGCTAACCTTGCAATGAGTGGTAGGTCTTTAGGTTGTTTTCTGTCTTGCTTTTGTTTGGGCACATATTTTTACCAGTTATATTGTGGTGTTAACCATCATTAATTTTAGCAGAAACAAACCAAGAACTTATAATGGCTCAAGGTGGCATTAGTTTGTTGTCGATGACAGCAGCTGATGCCGAGGATCCTCAAACTCTCCGAATGGTCGCTGGAGCCATTGCAAATCTCTGTGGCAATGGTAAACCACCACATCTTTTTTGTCTTGTTGGTTATAGTTTTTTGTCTTGTTGGCAATGCTATATCTTAAGAAGTTTCTGCTTGGAGTTGAAATAAAACATAAGTTGGATAACAAATAGAAACAACCTCAAGGGAAGGGGGGAAACAACTAATGACAATGATTACTGAAGGGAAGATAATATAGAAATCTGATTGTACATCATCAGTATATGTCATGAATCACCTTACTAGCTTTATTGGTTATCTTCCCAAAAAATAGCCCCATTTCCTATCTTCTTTTGGCTCATCATCTTGATGGGAAATTTACAATGTTTATTGTTAGAAGTCATCTTGCTAATTTATCAATTGGATTCTTTGAATAAACTGCTTTCATTATTGCTTGTCAAGAAAGAAAACAAAGTTGATTTAGCATGGCTAAACTGACATGGTTGTGCAATCCACCAAACAAGATTGAATCCTCACTTGTGCCATTGTCTTTAAATAAATTTCAGCCACATTTCTATTTTCCAGAGTTTCTCTTGTAGGCATGTCTTTTGACAGGTACTGACAGGTACATGCTGTCACTAACTACTATTACATATTTTTTGTCCAGATAAGCTACAAACTAAACTGAGAGGTGAAGGTGGTATTAAGGCTTTGCTAGGAATGGTGAGATGCGGACATCCCGATGTTCTTGCCCAAGTTGCACGTGGAATTGCCAACTTTGCAAAATGCGAGTCTAGAGCATCGACACAGGGTGAGTCTTAGGCAAACACTTTTGTTGGATGTATGCAATTGTTTGCAGGTGTCAATACTTTCTAGGGATTTTTACGGTCCAGTCCACCTCAGAATAGGGAAACTATTTTCCCCAATGTATTTACGATCCACTCCACTTATAAACACCATCCCCCCGTGAATTTGGCATCTTTCCCCCCTTGACACTGACCCAAACTGTACGATGAAGTTATGAATTCTGAGGTGGAGTGGATCGTAAAAACCCCTACTTTCTAATGGTGTATTCCTTGTAGTGTTTTATTTTTCTTTGTATCTTACTTTTCACAATAAGATACTGAAGAGACCCTAGTTATTCAGTCGTCTATTCATGTTTCATCGGGAGTTACTGCTAAATAATAAGGAAACCTATCTAAGCTAGACATGCAATTTGGAATCAAGACAAAGGACTGGAGGAATGCTATATTGATGTGTTGTGATACTGGTGTTGCTTAATATCACAGGGTCAAAGACTGGGAGGTCATTCTTGATTGATGATGGAGCGCTTCCTTGGATTGTACAAAATGCAAATAATGAAGCCTCACCAATCAGACGCCATATTGAGCTTGCTCTGTGTCACCTGGCACAGCATGGTAAGTGGGTCTTTCTATTCAAGACCCCAAAACCAGAATTTTTTTTGGTTGCCTGAAAGCGGTGGTTTCTATTTTGCAGAAGTGAATGCAAAGGACATGATTAGTGGTGGTGCTCTATGGGAGCTTGTTCGTATTTCCCGAGACTGTTCCCGGGAGGACATAAGGAATCTTGCCCAACGGACACTGACCTCCAGCCCTACCTTCCAAGCTGAAATGCGGCGATTGCGGATAGAGTTTTGAAGCTAACTAGTGGTAGGCTCTTCGTGGTATATCTTTGTGTAGACTTCTTGTAGTGGTGTGGAGAAGCCAAAGATGAGTTTTTGAAGCTAACTAGTGGTAGGCTCTGTGGTATCTCTGTGTAGACTAGTTATAGTAGCGTGGAGAAGCCAAAGCTGATTATAGATCGCACTGTTGTCGCTTGCACGAGAAGATTTGATCTTTTAGGGATGAATAAGCGGGCATTCAGATAGGTAGGTCCATTTAAAATTTTGTTAGAACTTAGAAGGGTGTAGGCCTTTGTAATCATAATTCTAGATGGGTACGTTTGTAGAGCCCTTTGTCTATATTCTTTTCTTGTTTCCGATGTATTGTTTTATTCAAGTGGACCGTTGAAGTATAGCTTCTTGAGAGAAATGTTGTAGAAATCGATGTATATGCAATGAAAAAAATGTGTATTTTTTATTGCCTCTGTACTAACAACGGTTTGATTTCATTTGTTTTATATTCTTAAATGATATGACATATTTACTGACCCAATAGCAGACCAAGATAATGAAAAAAACTATAGTTTTGATTGATAGAAACTATTGATAACTTGTGTATGAGCATATGGTTTTCAAAACCGGACTGGACCGGACGGTCGGACTGGAAAAACCGAAACCGATTAGGTGATCAGTTCCGTTTTCCCCAAAAACCGGATCTTTCCTTAAAACTGTTGATTTTTTTCAATGAACTGTTGAATCGGGCAGTTAACTGTTTAAACCGTTAGAATGGTTTTGATCGTTTTTTTATTTTTGTCAGAACGGGCTAAGTGTTTGGTTTGAACGGTTGGACCGTTTGACCCGGTAACCGGACCCCTGACCGATTTGGTCACCGGTTGGTCTTAAAAACCATGCTTTGAACCTTGATACCAACCAATCTACAACAGCATTTGTCTAATTGATTACGTTCAGCTTGTCTCTCTCAGATGCATGCTCCACAGCGGCTTCACAAGACCCTTTCAAACAATCAATAACAATCTTAAAAGTTTCAATTTCCTTGTATGATTATTCTATCCTACGTTCCTCCCTCCCATCTTGTGGGTTTTCAATGCAGTCCACAACTCCTAGATGATATCCCAGTAGGTTTACTTATAAACTGAAGCACTTTTCCATTGTTGCCACGAACCAGCCCCATTATAGTGCAATAACCATTTAAGTTTCTCGAAGCACCAAAATTAGTTTTAACTTTTAATACTATCAGCTTTCGGTGCTTTCATCACCTAGATCCTTTTTTTTTATTAGAATGGTACCTGCAATCTCATTATACATTGTATATTTTAACACAAGGTTCTTTGCCTTATCAATGACTAATGGATGGTGAAGGAGTTCTTGTATTGTATGTTTTTCTGTTCTTATTTACCATTGGATGGGGCCGGGATGCTTGGAATTAGAGTTATCCAAATTTGCTTAGTGCAGCTCTTAAAGATGTGATTCACATCAATCTCACTGCAGAAAGCACAATTTAGATCTGCATTAACTCCTCGATTTCTAGGAAATAATTTGGTGGAAATTTTATTATTTTACAGAAGGAACAAGAAAATTTTGATCTTAAGGGGGCAATTAAATTTACAAACTTTATCAACTCTCCGTTAGAGTGTATTGATCCAAGTGTCCAGCAAGGAGGTACGCAAAATTGACCAAGAACATATCCTTGGGATCAAGTCTCCACACAATTCTATCCCGTTTGTTGCCTGAGGGAATTACTAGATATTTAATTTTCTAACTTCCACTGGGACTAAGGAAGCTATTTTATGATCCTACCATTGTTTAATATAATGGTTTATAACATCAGAATGCAGAAACCATCAAAGTTTCTTTATTTTTTTCCTGAATCTCTCACTATGTTCTTAACGGGTTCATCACCCTCCCATATGTCCTTCCATTAGTTAATGGATCTCCCATGACCAATAACTTTCCCTATCCCTTTTTTTAGAAGGTCTGTCAGGTTTAGGATCCCCTTCCAAACCCAAGATATTCTTTCTTCTTGGCACTAGTATTTATTTCTAACAACTAAGGCCATGTTTGGGAGTTCTTAAAAATAAATGCTTATTCAAAATAAGTGTTTATTTGGGCCAGGGCCACACCATTAAGCACTTATTGGTGTTTATAAATAAGCCCGAAATAAGTGCTTAATTTAAAAAAGCCCAAATTTCCAGTTTTTTTAACTACTTATACAATAACCACTTATTCATTTTTTCTTCCAAAAATACCCTTAGTACTTTTATAAAGTGGTTTAGTAAAAGTGTTTTCGTATAAAAGTGTTTTTATAAAAGTAATTTAATAAAAATACTTTCATAAAGATATATTTTGAAAATTTGAAAGAAAATGAAGGACAAAATAGTCACAAATGCTTATTTAACTGCTTATTGGAGAAAAAGACTACCAAATGCTCAATATGGAATAAGTGCTTATTTTTTTAAATAAGCACTTGAAAAAGTTGGGTGTCAAATGCAAATAAGTGCTTATTCAAATAAGCACTTGATTTTAAGCACTTATTTTTAACATAAACACTCCCAAACATGGCCTTAGACCTATAAGTTTTTGGGTAGGTCATAATTCTCCACCCTTATTTGGCTAAATTAACCGCATTGACCCATTCCATTTTTTTTACACCCCAACCACCCCATCAGCTAGGTAAGCAAATTCTTTTCTAGTTGACAATATCAAAAAACTTCTTTTCTTTATTCCCCCATAGGAACTGTTGTTTTTCATCTTAGCTTTGAGAAAGATAAAGGATCTCATTAGAAATTGAGGGATAGTCTTCTATTTTCATCCACTAGGTTTAGCTTGAATTTTCTCCAATATTTCTTTTATTTTTAGAGCAGAATTAACTGAAGGTCTAGCAAATATGAGGAAATTGTCAACGAATTGGAGAATAGGGATTTTTGGCTCTTTTCTTAAGACTTAGCTCCCTAGTATATAGTTCTTATTATTGGCTTCCTTACAAATTAATCTTATTCGAGTTTCCCCACATTAAAAAAAAAGGTATAGGGACAATGGATCACTTTGTCTAATGCCTCTCCTAGACCTAGAAGGAGGCATTAGTCGAAATATGAAAAGATATTGTACTAATACACTTCATTACCTAATTCACCCATTTACTAATACACTTTGAAAAGGAGAAACCTCACAGGATTGGTTTTAGTCTATTTACAAGAGTCTTGACCATTATTTTGTATATCGCATTGCAAAGATTTATTGCTCAGAAATTATCAATCATTTCTGGATTTACAACCTTCAGAACCAAAGCTACATTTCCTTTGTCATTTTCCCTGAGTGGAAGAAGCCAGAATTATTTGTTCAACCGAATCTTTGATGGTTAACTGGGATTTCTTAGACGGTGTTTGGAACTGGTGTCATTACTTCAGAAAACGGTGACACATCAATGTCACGTTAAAAAATCGATGCTTCAGAAAATAGTAATATATTTGGAATCGTTTTTATGGAAAAACGGTTCTAAACCATGCCTTGAAAATCGAGAAGGCATGACCTAGGGAAACTCTGAATTCGACATTTTTTCAATTTGGAGTTCGTTGCTACCAACGAGGACATGATGTGGTAGTGACATGGACTTCCTATAATGGGTATCAGTGCTGAAAATAAATATGGAGCACTTGTACCAAACATAAAGTGTTGTTGTTGCCCTAGTAAACGTCCTACCTGACAGCAATATTTCCAAACAAAAAAAAAAACACCATTTTCTCAGAAAACAATGCATCGATGCCAAACATATACTTAAAAAATAAAACATTTAAACCACCTAGCTCAAGGGCCTATAGATCTTACATGGAATTTAGGGCTTCCCAAAATTTACTCATAACTGACATCCTTCCCCAATTCCTCATTTTGTTGATCAGAGCAACAAGGAAAAATCCCATTAATAAATTCATCAATACCCTCAATTGAGTCAAACTTAAATCTATCTTCAAACTTCTTTTATTTTAGCAAAAACATTCCTCTTCAGTTTCACTGCTTAACATTAAAATGATAAAAGCTAAAACAATGATTTTTAATTTCATCATCATCGTCTAAGCTTTATCCCAACTATATATATATGGGCCTTCCAATGTATTCATCATTTGTGTCAATTGAAGAAAGGGAGGTACCATGGAGGTGCCATACATTGGGCTGTCTACGTGGGCCTGAATTGAACTTTAGAAGAGAATTCTTAATCCAAAACCCAACTCAACCGACATTTATTGTGTGTCTGTAATATGTCTGTCTGTATGTATTCATCAATAAGTATATATAAAAGCCAAACATGAATTTAATATTCTTAGGCACCATAACTTTCTTGTGATATATAAGCTAATGCTAAAGTCAATCAACCTTAATTGGCTAATTCTAAGTTTAAAAAATGGTTAACATTTTTAGGGTCAGGATTGGGAGTTCAACAACTCGGGTTGGGTTGAGATTGAAGGTTGACCTCAATGTTACCTAACCTACTAACCTAGCCTGACTTAAACACCTAGATATGAACAAAGAAAAGAAACTTTGAACTAAACTTCAGAAGAGATATCAACATCCAATATCTGTTTAGCTAAGGGCCATTTCAGAACATAATGTTAATCATGGAAGTCAGCACCACGGTAGCCTTAAACCACAAAAGGACAAGACATAACAACCTCTGACCTTGACCTTTTGTCCTTTGTGATTTTAGGGGCTCGTGGCCATAGAGCCCACGATATGATGTCTGAGAATAGAATTCGTTTTTGACATTGCAGATGTTGGTGAAACTAGAGGGAGTTGATGAACTACCACATGCACAAGAAGGCTGAATACTCACTCATGCTTATATATCTTTTATTCAATAGAAGTGATTTGGTTAAAATCACCAGCCTTCTTACAGAATTTCACTGAGTTGGGAAATAGAGAAACCAAAACTATTAAGCCCAAAAGGTGCATCAAATCTCCTATATATGATTAACTTTATCAGTGCGTTCATAAACAAATCCTGGTGCATGTTTTCATTGCGAGTGGGTCAAAACCAGTTCTTTCTCGGCCCCAAAGATATGAACGGAGGAAGTGAGGGATAAAAAGAGATTAAAATGATCTAACCGATCAGAAAATCAGAGTGACGCAAATGGGTATGAATCCTTCACCGAATGGCTTATGGCATGAAATAGAAGAATGAAGCCCCTTGGCCTTACATGGAAGAAGAAGAAGACATGGGTCACCTTCAATTAGAACAAACAGTCACTAAATTGAGGAATAAAACGTAAGGGAAGGAAAATCACTGGCATCAGCTAAGGGATCGTTCTACAACATGAATGTTTTTGTTTCGTTTGTTTTTGGAATCGCCACATCAACAAACAAACAAAAATATGTTCTTGAACTCTGTCTGTATTTTCAAATGGAAAAAACAAATTGGTTTTGTTTCAAGAAAACAATACATGTTTTCGGAACCAACAAAATACTAGCTTTTAAAACAAAAATAAATTTTCTAGTATAGAACTTATATGATATTATGGAAGATGATGTTGAATAATTAATCAAATGAAAAAATGTTTTTGAAAACAGAAAACAAAAACAAAATATGTTTTTTGGTTTTAGTTTTGAAAACAGAAAATATATACACAACCAACCAAGAACATGTTTCTTGTGTTTTTGTTTTAAGAAACAATCTGTTTCAAACAAGATGGTTTTGATTTATTTTTTGGAACCAACAACAAAAAACAAAACAAAACAGTTCACATTATAGAACACCCCCTAAATCATTCATATCATATTGCTAAATCAAAGACTACCATCACCAAGAGGCTGCACTGGTATTTCAAAGAGCTTCGTTTCATTTCCTGCTCAACTCTATAAATTCTTTCAAATCTTTGTATTTTACACATTGAGGCGTCTGTGTTAATTTTTTCATGCATGGACCAGAAGAGGTCAAGAGTTAATAACAATATTAATTGAAGAAAAATGGGTTAATTAATTATATGCTCAAATAAATTATATATCCGCCATTAGAAGAAAAGGGGAATTAAAGAATCAAAGAATCACGGTGTAATTGTCCTAGTGTGCTGCTGCTGCCTAACTCCCATCAATTTGGGCACAGTTTCTCTGCATGAATACTTTGTACTGGATTATGGTTGACATAATGATGAAAAGGAGTAGGTTTATCTCGAGTGCAGCAACATGGACCACTATCAACTTGTGATAAATATTAAAGACTACTAATAGAGACCAGAAAACATTAAAACACTAATTAGATCTTCCTGGGATCAAAACCTTTGTGGTACGAAGCTTGCACTCTCAAACTCTATAAAAGTTACAAAGAAAGTAAGTACAAGGCTTCATGAAAGACCAAAAACAATCATTGGGAAAGCAGAAAACTGGTTAGCAGGACAAGCCTGGAAAAGAAAGCACTTCCTTTGGTGAAAAGAAAAAAGTTTCTGAGAAAAGTGCATGCAGTGTGAGTATATAGCAAGCAGAGATTTATATTTAATTGAGACTCCAAAGAAAACCCAGAAGAGAAGAGAAAGAAATGGGGAAGCCAGAAAATATTTAGGACTTAAGCTGATGATTCCCATAGAACTGAATTACATTGTTTAATGGGTGAAAGTGCGTGTGTCAAGAGAAGAATGGTTAAGCTTATAGCTACATGAAAGATTAAAAAAAAATATGGGGAGCTGCTGGGACCAGCTGGGAGCTAGTTTGAGTACAAAGAACATGATGAGCTGGGCTTTGAACATCTGCCCCATTCCAGACAAGCAGATTTTTATTTTACTTACCTTACTTGTCGATCCTCTATTCCTTTACTGCCGTAGCTTTACATTGATCAGGCTAATGAGATGAGAGAAAACTGAATAGAACTTTAACGTAGTTCCAACTCCGTCTTTGTCCTCGTTTGTTGCCTTTTTTTTTTAAGTGTTTAATTGTTTGCCTCGAAAAGGAGATTGGAGCTTGGTTCAGAGCAGTGCACGTGTAATCCAATACCCGATATTCATGTCTCCTTCCCGCCTCAGACACCATCCAACCATGGATACATCCTACACTATGTCCAAGGCAACTCTAAGAAGCCCATTACCCTTTTGCAGTCTGCATTGCCACCTTCCCCATTTCCCTCACCGGTTCACCAAATGAAAATCAGCCTTTCATCTCATCGATCTCGCATCAGCAGCAGTAATTCTAATTCTAATAATAATAACAACAACAACAAATTGTTCAGTGTGGAAGTAAAGAAAGGGTTTAGAGATAGGTGGATGCGTGATGATGGGTTTGAGTCTGCTGACAGAACGAAATGGATTCAAGTTGGAGTGGTGGACAGTAGTGAATATCAGAAGGCCTTATCTTGAATAGTTAAAACTGAGAGGAGCTCAATCAATCTAAGTCTTGAATGCTTGGTGGGTGTTAGGGTTCTTCTCTCTCTCTCTCTCTTTCTCTGAAGATTTTTTTATTTTGGGCAGGGAGGGGGGGCTGAATCATCTAAATGAAGCTTGATCACTCAGACAAGATAACCACTAACAAACTGATAAAGGCAAAAATTAGAAAGACAATACTCGTCAAATTTCGTTTGAAGAGAGAGAGAGAGAGAGAAGAAGAAGAAGAAGAAGAAGAAGAATTGTCGGGCAAATTACCGGAGCTGCAACAGAAAAGGAACTAGAAAGAGGGAAGGAAAGATAGTCCAGCCAACATCAATTCTTCTTCTTTCTTCTCCTTTCTCTTGTTGTTGCTGTTGAAGTTTTCTGTTCTTCTGTATGTAGTGACATTGGCCATGGTTTCCGAAGCTCTTCTTACCCCACCAAAAATTCATTGAATTCGTACATGATTGTAATTCTTCAATCAACCGTCGGCAGACTAATCATCCGGTCACCCCCGGAGGCAACACAAACACTACAAAAGAAAGGAGGAAAAGAAAGCTCGAATCACCAACACCACATTTCTCATTAGCTCCAATTCTTTCTGGGCTCTTTTCTGGCAATAAAAAAAGATGATAGAAAGGTAAAACAAGACTGAGAGTAGCTTGTCAAAATGGAGGGCGACCAGTGGCCCAATAGGCCTCAGCTGGTAATTGGCATGGAGTTAGAAGGTTTGGTGGTAAGCCATGAAAAAGAGGCATGTTAGGGTCGGGCAAAAGCTGTTGCTGTTGTTGTTGCTGTTGTTGCTGATCAACCATTCCTGGAGAGCCGAGAGGGCCTCCGCTCTGCATTGGGAGTGGTGGTTCTTCATCCTCAAGGGGGAGCCGTTCATAAGCTGCGTTACCGAATGAAGCTGCCATTATTACAACTGGACCTGAAGCAACCAGAGCACCAACCACACTTCCTCCCACTACTTGACCTTGTCCGCCTGCTAAGTAAATGGTCAATCCCGTCGCAGCGGGCGGAGCCGGAGGTGGTAGAAATGACCCAGAAAGAGAAAGGATTTCGAAGCGGCCATGTAAGGTCACAATTGCACCGGGTGTTGCAGGTTGCCTGAGAGTGACGTTAGTTACAGTGCCACTCCCACTTAAAATGCAGACTCCTCGCTGGCGCCTCCGGGCAAAGGTTGCGACACTCTCGCCGACATCGCACCCATTAGCGATCTCCATCACATGGGTTCGGAGAGCATTGGCACTATCTCGGGTTATGATGATCGGTGGCTTAGGCTTGTTCTTGGAACCAGCTGGTCTACCTCGTGGTCTTCTCGTCATTTCTCCTTCTCCGGCTGCAACAATCATTTCGTTGCCATCACCGTGGTTGCTGTTGATGTCATCACGATCGCGTTTCTTCCCTTTGTTTAGGCCGCTGCTGCCGCTGTGTTCATCTTCAGAATTCTGCTGCTGTTGGTGGTGATGATGGTGCAGATGTAGATCTCTTGTGTGGAAAGGAGGAGGGAGACCATGGCCATGTGCTGATGCTGTTACAGAATGATCCATAGCTTTTTTCTTTCCTTTCTCTCTCTCTCTCTCTCTCTCTATATATATATATATAAAGATATATATGTCTTCTACTTTTCTCTCTTCTTTCTCTCTTCTTCAAAAGAATCGAAACCCCGTCTTCCACATACACAATACCCAAGTAACTGAACCCCAGAAATCAGAGAAGTAACAGAGAGTGAGAGAGAGAGAGAGAGAGAATAGAGGGATCTTTTTGGAGAACACACAGCAAGAAAAAGATCAGGAAAGCCTTCTAGGCTGTCTCTCGTATCCCTTTTCTCTTTTAGTTTTTTTGATGAATTAATTGCTACTACCATTCACCAGAAAAGGGAAAAGGAGGAGGTTTTCGGCATCACCCACCGATTTTCTAGCTAAACCAGCCATCTTTCTCCTCTCTAACCTCTTATTAAGGTGTCTCTTAAGAAGTCTGAGTTTCTTATTTGTTACTGTTGTTGAGGGTTGAGGTAAGATGAAGAGCCAAGGAGAGTAGTGATTTGGGTCCTTCTTTTTGGGTTAGGGTTAGGTCAAGGAGACGGGTGGCTGATGGGTTTGGTTTCGGTAAGATAGCGTGCGCATGGGCGGTGGATGGGCCCCCTCTCCCTCTCTTTTGTCTCTCCCAACATTCCACGTTCTCTCCCCCTCTCTCACTCTCTCTTTCTCCTCTGTATATAAATGTCCAAGAAAGTAAATAATAACTCCGTCTAATCCTTCCTTATTCCTTTCCTACTAGCTACAGTATTTCATCTCATCACCCCTTTTGCACAAGAAGTCCTCCTCCTTTTCTTCTTCTTCCTCCGTTGGTTATCACTTGTAAATATGCTTGAATCCAACTTTCTTTTATCAGCTTTTCAATTTGAGAATTCTTGTAAGAACTAAATTCTGTTAATTAAGCCTTCTTCTTCTTGTCAACATCTTTAGAAGTAACTCAGACCCATTTTCCTTCTGCATCTCCTCTTTCATGGGTTCTCTTACCTTTCTAATGTTTGATTGTCTCAAAGCATGAATTCTTCACTTATCTTTACTGATAATATGGAAGATTTGGAACTCTTTTTTTTTCCTGATAAACAAAACTTAATTAAAAGCAAGAAAATATAAAATGTATGTAGCAGTCTAGTCTAGCAGAGAAGAGAAGCGTTCCAAGTGGTTTCTTGCTTTGATGCATGCCCAAATACTTAGTCCTAGAAAACGAATACGTAACTAAATTCTAAACAAAAACCACCTGAAGAGAAATTAATTTGACAGCCAATCTTTCTTTGATGCCCAAAATAATTTTGTTTCATCTTAAATGTTCCAATGGTTTCTTCATTCTTGCTCTGCATGTTGAAACCTTTTTCTATTCCAAGTTTAAGTGCGGGTATGGATATGAGGGAAGCCATGATTAGAGTTTTCAGTTTCCAGCGGCAGAAGAAGCTAAATCCAAGCTTCTCGTTAGCATGCACAGAAGGTATAAAAGGAGAAAAGGTACAGAGAATAGAAGCTAGCGCTTGTGATGACAAACATGGCTTCTGGGTATTTCTGGCATTCTATTTCCGTCCACCGGACAATCACCGTAGAACTGAATAATTCACTGATTTGAGGAGAAAGGTACAGTACAGTACAGTAATATTTGTATTATAACTTTTAGGGATAAGTAAGACAGGTAAAGACCGAGAGGGAGGGAGCGGGCGGGAGCGAGTCCCGCAGCACATCCCGACCATGAATTGGGATGTGCTGTGGGCATTGTGGGGCGCAGATGTGAACTCGGGGGGAGCGCATCTCCAACAGTGCAAATTTGATAGCATATAGATGGCGGGATGTGTCTGTGAGGTGAGTGTGAGACGCGCTTTGTGAGGAGCAGATCCCAATTGGGCAGTCGTAGAAGGAACCGGAAGAGCGCGGGAGGCGGGACCCTCACTATGAAAAGTCAGAACTTAATTGTCTTAAACGCTTCCAATCTCCCTCTGATTCTCCCAGCAAATTTTAACCTTAGTGGGTCCCATCCTTTTTGTCAATAACACGTGTCACCTCCCGGTTTTCCTCACTCATTTGGTTAAACCTCCAAAAGACCAATCAGTATAGACCACGTCACTTCTTGTACACATCTGGAAAACAATGGGTCCCACCTAAACATCGCCGCCACGCTGGCTAGTAGTAGTAGGAGGACCAATTTGGACAATGGGTCCCACCTAAAAGTATCTGACGGTGCTGATGCATTCACAAATCTTACCAACATTTGCATTTGGCAAATGGCAAAGGCAATTTGGCATTTGGCATCAGGAGGAGGAGGAGGAGGAGGAGAGGGGAGAGGGGTCCCACATTCCCACTCCCACTTTTGATCAAAACCACACAAAGTCATGATGATGATGATGAAGAGGCTACGCTGCGGTCAACCTCTGGTCTCGTGGGATTCCGGAACTGAACGTCACGCACAGACTTACATGTGTGCCAGTTGTCCAGCTTCTGGGTGATTGGGCGCACGTGCACACCTAGAGAAGATAAACGTGTGCGCATTGTGCACCTTCTCCTCTGGGACTCAACTGGGACTGGGAGTATTTATTGTATTAATGGACCATGGAGGAGTTCTCATCTTTCAATCTTATATTTATTCCTCGGTCTCTCTTTTCGTCTCTTTCTTTTTGTTGCTTCGCATGCAAGTACAGAGAGGATTGAGAAAGCTGAGTACCGTGAAACATGTGATGCCCCCTTGGGCCATCTTGAACTGACGGAAATACCCTTTGGAAAGCTCCATATCCATTAATGGCATTATCAGGGTTAAATTAAATAATGCATGATGTTGAGGGTAAAATGGTCCTCGAATGGAAAAACAAAGGAGGTGGGGTCGGATGATCCAGGTGGGAAAGTGAATCACTGGATCCGACATAAAAGAGCTGAAGGCAAGGGGCGGATGTGGAGCCCACTATGATGGTGATGTTAATGCCATCCATGATCCCATCCCTTTGGTGGGGTCCCAAAGGGATGGGTGGAAACAAGGCGCTAGACAAGATGCAGTCATTCAATCCTGTCATCTTAAAAACTGTCCCAGCCAACGGTGAGTTGTATTCCAGATAAAGTTGCATTGCATGTGAGGGAGTCGCATGGTAACCAAACTAAGGCATTCCCCCCCCCTAGAGAGAGAGAGAGAGAGAGGCTGACTGCATTGACAGACTCTTGGTGCAGTCACCATGGCTCTGCCCAAGGCATCTCTGCACCAGAGAAAATGCATGACCATATGTGGTTGGTTGGGGCACAGAGAGTGCTTCCAGTTACAGGAATTGCCATTTGATGACAGTCACTTCCCATCTACAATCCATTACAGCTTAAAATCCATCAATTAATCTTTTTTTTTCTCCCCCAGTTTCTGGACCCTGGACCCATCTTTAAAAAGGAAGAGATCTGATGATCAAAGTGAAGTCTTTTGTTTCACAACACTTATGGAGAGGTTGAGGTTACTGTTCTCAACATATAAAAAACTTTTGAAAACTTGTTTTTCAAGGTTTTCCCATCAAGTGATGAATTTGCTTTAAGACAAGACACTCAACATGAAATTGTCCCATGAAACCAAAATACCTTTCAAAGTTGCACTGCCGGCCCAATCAAATTTGGAACAGCCACTACTCTAACAGAAAGCTACATACATTCATATCCAAAGCTATTCTTCAAAGGTTATATATGCCAGACATGTCAAGCTCAAACCCTTTTCTTATTTAAATAGATATATTCCAATTCACACTCCCTTTCTTTAGGAGTTAAGGGAATCTACCAATTCACTAAAAGATATTGTTTTATTTTCAATCATATTGAAAAGAATTGCTTTAAAACTATTCTTTTATGCCTTTTCAGCATATCCTTCCTAAAACCTCTTTCACAAGTTTTCAGATATTGCATCAAATTTAAAAATAATAATAATAATAAAAGAAATAAAAGGTCCTGTTATATGAAGCTGCTTCAAATTAAATTATACAGTAACCCAATCAAGTTTGGATAAGGTATGTGCTTCTAGAAAAATTATATGTAGATGTATGAGTAGACTATCTCTTGAAAGCTTTTCCTATGGTCCACTAACATTTTTTGTTGTCAAAATAGGGTATGTTCTATCTTTTTGTGTAACAGTTTTTCTAGTTTTTTTTTTTTAATTTCTCATTAAATTAATTTCCCCTCAGTGATTTGGCATTGGTTACATAGATTCCATTTCCTATGACTTATCAGTCCTCTGAGTTGTTCTTTTCCTTCTTTTTTTTAAGGAGAACGTTTCAAGAGGTTTGTATGATATATAATTAAGAGAAAAGACAAATTTCATTATCATGAAAAGATAAGGAAACAAAAGAATTAGACAACAAGTTTATGTAGTTCAACAGTTGGCATACATTGAGGCAATATTTGAAATTAATTCATCTCCCCATTACGAGCTATCAGCTTATACCTGATCACATAGCTGAACTGAATGATTTATGCTTGATCTTTTTAGTGAATAAATTATATATTCAGGAGGTTGCAGCAAACTCTCCTTAATGGCTGAAGCTAGAGTTGGGTTGTTGAATTACATGCTGTGACTTGGATATTTTACTCATAAAAGAAAGACAAAGCCATAAGCCATTCAATTCAGCCATTTCAGCTGACATCAAAGTATTGAAGAATATATAGCATCTCCATTCTCCATACAAAGTTCTGAACTGAACTTCTTCTAGTAATAAGACAGGATCAAAATCAAGGAGACAGTGCAAGAAGGGGGGATTAATGTTTCTTTCTCGCCTCGATTGATCTAGGGCTAGCCCACATGATACAAGGAAGGTAGCTAGCCGTGGAGAAAGAGAATGAGCGGCCATAGCTGGATAGATATCAGAACTATGATGATCGATCATGATCAGTCCAGTTGGTGGGCCATGGCGTAGGTTGGGGGTTCTCCTTCAACCAGCTCCAGCTGCTCATGCAACGAAAGGACACACCCACCATTTGACCGGACTGTTCGAAGAGACCAAGCTGGGTGTGGGAGTGAGTAGGACGCGTGGGTGCAAGGCAGCTGACACAGAGGAGGAAGCAGGCAGGCAGCTGCGCAGATGATGAGCACAAGCT